TTCTCCTGGGAGAAATACATATATATATATATATATATATATATATATATATATTCACATATATAATTGAGAAAAGGCATTACAATCTTTAGTATTTCACAAAATATCTTGAATATTAATCAAATGATAATTATTTTCTTTATTGTAATTATAATAATTATTTTCTGTCTTGCTTTGCTTATTATTTAAATAGATAACATAACCAATGTGGAGGGATGGCAAATAAATGTGACTTTGAATATTCGCCCATCCACTGACACTGGGGTTATGCTTGCCTTGATCTCTGGGAAAACAGTGCCCTTTGCCCTGTTCCTGGTGGAATCCATCTCTGAAGAGTCTCAGGTAACCTTACTTCCAACCTCGGTCATCCTGTTATTTCTTTTTTCCTGAAATGGATATAAGTATCATGGGGGACAGTTTTGAAGATAAATGGCACAGCTTTTGTGTTTGGTACCATCTCCAGTGTACCATTTAGGAGTTGTGAAGGGTTATTATTACTATTTTGTTGGCTAGTTGCCAAGGTCTAAAAGGAGAAGAGGTGAAAGTTCTGAGAAACCTTTGCATCTGGAGCTACGGTTAGGCAGACTCACGTACAGGCTTCTTGCGACACAAGATTGGCACAGGTTTCTTGAAAATATCACAGAGTACAGAGAGATTCACCTTTATTCAGAATCCATGAAGCACAATGGAATTAATTCATCTATATACAAAATAAGAGTCCAATTCCCTCCCTGATATTTAGTGTATAACTGCAATGGTTTGTTTTATCTTGTACTGTTCATCTTTTCTCCCATGAGTAGGTTAAGAAAAGAAGGGAAAACTAAAGCTCTTCCACTTGATTTCTTGTTGGCAACTCCAGTTTGAAATTAGGCAGAGCAGAAAAGACTTAGATACAAGAAAACACAAAATTTATCAGATCTGTGTTATCTCAATTTCTAGTAGAGCTAATAATTATGTCCTTAAATCATGCACTATGCATTTCAAGTTTCTGCAAGATTGGCTTGTATGCTTGTAGTAGGTTTTACAGACATGTAATTGAATGATAAAGGTACAGAACAAAAAAGTGGAGTTCATTTTGCATTTTAGAGGGTGATTTTAAGGGAGTGAGTTTCTGGTCCTCCCTCCCTCCCTCCCTCCCTCCCTTCCTTCCTTTTCTTTGAGTCAGGGTCTCATGTATCCTAAGGTAACCTTGAACTCCTTGTATAGCTGAGGATGACCTTTAATTTCTGATCCTTCTGTATCTCCTGCCTCCACTTCCCAAGTGCTAGAATGACAGGCATGTTCCACCATGCCCAGTTTATATGATCATTGATCATTCCAGGGCTTTGTGATGTTAGACAAGCACTCTACTAACTGAGCCACATTTCCAGCTCATCTTTTTCTTTTTCTTTGTGATCTATGACAAACTTATTATACTTAGGTTTCAGGTTTTTGTTTGATTGTTTTTTTTAAAAAAAATTGTTTTGCGCTGGAGAGATGGCTCAGCAGTTAAGAACAGTGGTTATTCTTACAGAAGACCCGGGTTTGAATCCCAGCACCCATATGGCAGCTAACAATTGTCTGTAACTCCAATCCCAGGGGATCTGACAGCCTTTTCTGACCTCTGCGGGCATTGCATGACATGGGTGCACTTACCAACATGCAGACAATACATGCATACACATAAAATAAAAAATGTTTAAAAGTTTGTTTGTTTTTATTTTATGTGTGTGTTTTGCCTGCATGTATGTAAGTATACACATGTCGCTCAAAGTCTGCAGAGGCCAGAAGAGGGTGTTGGACCCCCTGGGACTGGAGTTCTAGATGGTTGTTGGCTGCCATGTGGGTGCTAGGAATCAAACCTGGGCCTCTGCAAGAGCAGCTAGTGCTCTTAACCTCTGAGCCATCTCTGCAACCCTTAATTGTTTTTAAAAAATATTTGGAATCCTTATCTTGAATATCACATTCACATAGTGAAGGAGGTTAATATATACCTTGTCTCTTTTATATTAAAATTGCTATTACACTTTATTTATGTATTTTGTATGTGGTGCTGGGGGGAGTACCTCAGTGTGTGAGTGGAGGTTAGAGGAGAACTTCTGAAAGTCAGTTCTCACCATCCAGCATGTGGGTTCTGCAGATGGAACTAAGGTCGTCAGGCTTGGCAGCCAATCTGAAGGTCTATATAGAATGTTTCAAAAGAGTATTCCAAATACAATTGATCATCCTGGGGCATCAGCTCAATTGATCACCTCTTTCAATGAACTGAGTATATCATTAGTGACACAGCAACAGATTTCCTCAAATAACCTGTTTGGGAACTATTGACTTTTCACTTAGCTTAAGTCTCTTGAATTCCAAAGAGAACACTTCAGAGTGTTTTTTAACCATCTGGGAAACATCACAGCATCCTTCTCCTTTGTTTGATTTTATCATCTCTGTTTTAATACGCCTGACATTTCCTCTTTACCATCTGTGGGTTAGCAGCATAGGTCACTCTCACCAAGTTGAATACTTTGAAAATACCAGCAAAATAAAAACAATTCCTTTTTGAGAGTTTTTTATTAACTAACTATTGCTGGCAATCTCGGTCTCTTTCTGGGACCTCTTTGCCCACTTTGCCCTCGGTCTGTATAATTACTTCTACGATACAGACAATTCTTTCTGTTTCGATGGCACATGCTTACTGATGGACCTTGAATTTGCCAAGTGTCTGCCCCGACAAAAAGTTCACCCTTCTTTTTTTCACATATAAGATTTTACATTAAGGAGATCTGTAAATAAAAGTATTTCTTAGGGGCACTACTAAGCTTCTTGTTGGTAATACAACCCTATTGGTTTACTGAACTTTCAGAAGCCAATATACATTTACATCTTAAATAAACCTGGTGTTTGTAAAGATAATAGATATTTTTAAATTAATTGTTAATATTTACTGAATTTTCATTTAAATATAGGCTCTATCATGCTTTTTATTCCCCTGGTTGAAATTCAGTGTTTGAATTTGAAAGCCCAAATCATTCACTGGTGCCATTACACTCTGTGCTCACTCTGCTCTTCAGGATATTCTGGTGTCTATTGAAAATACAGTGGTGGCTCGAATAGAGGGCATAAATCTCTGTACCAACCAGCAGTTCCATTTGGAATGCAAAGTCAACAAAAATGGTCTAGAGTTGTGGATCCCACTTAGGAAAGAAGTCATCTACTCCAAAGACCTTCAGGGACAGCTTGCGGTCTTGGACAAAGCAATGGAAGGAACGGTGGCCACTTACCTGGGTGGCGTTCCAGGTATTTGATCACTTTTTCTTCAGTTTTAAAGAAATATTTTAAATCAGAATGATGATATCCTAAATACAGAGTTTTAGTAACAGGGCATTAAAAGTGAAGATAAAAATTCCAATATTATTTACTTTTGTGTTGAATGCTTATACCAACATTTTATTGGTTTGTATATATATTTTTATTGAGCTTTTGTAATTTTATACAACAGTTCTTAATCAAATTTAGATGCCCCCCATCCACACCTCCCCATCCCTCCCACTGAACCGCATGTATTCTGCCACACATGTTAAGTCCTATTCATTTTTTAATAGTAGAATGAAACTACCCATTTTTTTTCCTGTATTTGTCTATCTAAGACAGAAAGCAACTTATCATTTCATTTTAGTCTTACAATAATCTTGTAAGTTCAACATTTATTCTTCAGTTTATTCATCATTTATCCAATACTTGTTCACTTATGATTTGGCATTTACTAAGAATTTAGGTCCCAGAAACTAGGGATTGATAATAAACAGAAAAATATGGTCTCTGTCATTGAGGCTTTTAAATTCAGTTCTAGAAGCAGAAATTAAATGGCTGATTAAGAAAATATCAAAATAATAAAATTGTGATGAATTCTATGAAGAAAAATCATGTTATTTGAGTTTAGAGCTTAGAATGGGGACTTGATGTGAACATGGGGGCCAGGAACAATATCTCTGAATAAGCGACTAGAACATAAATCTGTTATTTAAAGGATGAAATGTATTTAAATACATGGTAGGAATGAGTACTGGAGTGTATGGAGGTAGAATGGTTAGTGTGTGAGCAAAGAGGAATATACAGAAGATGTGTATGGGTGAGGCATATTGAGCAAGAGAGAAAGACAGTGAAGGATGAGTCTAGGAAACGGCTGAATGGATGGCTTGAAGACTTAGCTTAGAGTTTTGTTATAAAAGACATGAGTATGTTTAAGACAAGGGAACATTATACAGATATTAAAATTTTTAAATTTCACTCTGGATGTATAAATAAATGGGGTGGTAGGAAAAAGTGAGCACAGTTCATTTGAGTTTGGAAGATTCTGAATAGCCCACGAAGACTCAGTAATAATAGCAGTAACTGTACCACCATCGAGCAGTGCAAAATGAAGAGTCTGGACACCCTTCAGAGTCCTGCAAATGCATCGGTTATGTTAATGTTCAGAATAGTGATGTGCGAACCATCTTCTTCACTTTGCAATGAGGAAGTTGCTGGACTAGGTTGATAGCATTTGAGACAATTTACAGTGAATAAAGATGTAGAAATGAAATTAGTAGAATTTCATGATTAAAAGATAGGTAGGGGGCTGGAGAGATGGCTCAGCGGTTAAGAACACTGGTTGTTCTTGCAGAAGGCCCGGGTTCGAATCCTAGCACCCATATGTCTTCTTCACTTTGCAATGAGGAAGTTGCTGGACTAGGTTGATAGCATTTGAGACAATTTACAGTGAATAAAGATGTAGAAATGAAATTAGTAGAATTTCATGATTAAAAGATAGGTAGGGGGCTGGAGAGATGGCTCAGCGGTTAAGAACACTGGTTGTTCTTGCAGAAGGCCCGGGTTCGAATCCTAGCACCCATATGTCAGCTAACAACCATCTGTAACTCCAGTCCCAGGGGATCTGACAGCCTCTTCTGACCTCTGCTGGCATTGCACGACATGGGTGCACTTACCTACATTCAAGCAACACACGCATACACATAAAATAAAAATAATAAATAAAATTTA